AAATATTGGAATGAAAAGTGGATGGGTCCCACGTTGGGGTTTGCTTAAACCAAGGTACAACAAATTCTGATGATGACAAGTTCAAATGCAAGGACGTTGGTTTAGCAACAATCAGCCACTGATCATTCCCCTCTCCCAGGGTGCCAGGAACTCTACCAGGTGCTGTGGGAGCTCCTGAGACCAAGTAGACACCACCCCTACCCCCATCCCCACCACACACACACACACACACACACACACACACACACACACACACGCTGGTACCTTCTTTCAGCTAAGAGTGGCCCCAACCTATTTAGACCTGTCTGAAGAGTAGAGTAGCCAGTTCCGTTCTGGTGAGAACAGGGCTAGATACAAACATATATATAGGTTCTGGTTCTTGCGTTGTGACACTGGGCAACTACCTTGCCCTCTCTGAGTCTCAACCGTTTCATTGATAAAAGGAAGGTGACTGTGACTGCAAAGCTCTCTGCTAGCCCTAGGGCTCCACTGGCCTTCACATGATCTGGAATCCCTGAGAAGGAAGTTCTTCCGGGAAGCATCGTCTGTTCTGCCCAACAGAAAGAGCCCTGAATGATGACCACCAAGGCGCTTTGCTCTTAAGTTCATCCTGCGTGTTATCAGGTGGCCCATCGTGAGTTATTTTTTCTCTGAAGGGCGTGGCTGATACCTCTACTACCCTGAGGACCACTGGCTGTCCCCCACCCCATGAAGCCCCACGGAGGCTCCCTAATCAGAGTGAGCCCAGAAGGCTTTCACCTGTGACTCTGCTTAAGCCCCCACAGCTGGCCTGGGCCTCGCTGGGCTGCACAGGAAGCTCACGCTGGTCCTGAGACCAAAAAGAGCCCCCAGTGTTGCTGGCCACCTTCCCATACCCTCGGGGCCTGCAGTCCACCCCCGACTCCCAGCTCTGGACCAGTCACAGGAGATCCCTTTGGCGAAAAATAAAGAGCACAGTAAACAAACCACCAGGGGCCATTTTAAGTCGTTGGAATTCTGGCACCTAAGTCAGCATCTACAGCGTCTTTCTCAAGACACCCCCTTTGGTTAAAAGCAACATAAACAGAAAAGGAGGAGCTAGGATGTAGTTCAGTGTCAGAGTGAGTGGTTGGCACGCACCAGGCTCCGGGTTTGATCCTCGGCTCTGCAAAAGAAAGCTGGAACTCCTCACCCTCGCCTACGAGGTCATGCCTGACCCTAGCACTTCAACCTGCCCACTTTCCCCCAGAGCTTACTGTAATCTGACCACACTGGCCTATGCTCTACTCCTCAGAAATGCCTAGTTCCTTGTCACCACTGAGCCTTTGCACATGCTACTCCCTCTTCCAGGAGTGCTCTTCCCCAGACCTTTACCCAACTGGATCATGCCCTTCAGACCTTTCCCTTCCAACATCCCTTCCAGGGGGTGGGTGCGCACCTCAAGTACAGATACCAGCCCATTCTCCTGCTTTCATTTTTCACCTGGTATTTATCACTCTCTGGTATCACCTTCCTCATTTGTTGCCCTATAACTAATTCCCGCCCATAACGCACCCATCACGAGCTCCCTGTGGGCAGGGACTTATCCAATGCTGTGCCCAGTGCTGCTCCTTAGCTACCAAACTGAGTTCCCAATCAGAAAGAACAATGCTCAGAACGTGGCCTTTCCAGCTACCATCGCTGTGATCCGAGGTAGGCCACTTCTCCAGCCCCAGACTCTACGTCAGGAAAATGGAACCCATTAATGGTATCTTCCTGCTCGGGGCTTCATGCAGAATCACTGGGAAAATCCTGAGAGATGCTTAGACCAGAACGAGCCCCTCTCTGCCCTTCCTCTAGAGTTGAGATTGTCCCTGATTGGTTTACGCCCAAGGAGAGTGTGAGTGATGGAACCTGCCATTTCTACCTCCTTTTGTGGCTACAGAGCATCTGTGGGGATCCTTACCTCCATGAGCTTTGACATCTCCTGGTGAAGATCAAATGAGACTCAAAGTCCTAGGCACATATGCAGGGCCTCACCGTAGTAGACTACGGTGTCATTTAACTGAGCAGTTACGGCCTCATGCATCTCCATGAGGACAGCAGGGCTGCCTTGGGACAGCAGAGCCCACAGAGGACCAGACCTTCAAGGCCCATGTGCTTATGGTCCCTAGAGCACTGTGGGTGCCCAGCACATAGCGAGGGCCACATGCACCTGTCAGACAGAGGAGTTCTTAGGAGCTCTGAGCACCATTTCCTCTGGATACAGCCAGGCCTCACGACCCAAGCATGGGTTCTTTCTGAAAGAAGAGGCTGTGCCTCCAATCCATGCAGGGAACTTTCTGGAAATACCTGTTGTGGGAGGACAGGAATTTGCTTTCAAAGGAGTGTGGGAGGTTGGTTATCAACAGGTGGCTTCCACTTCTATGGAATGGCGGCTTAAGGATGGCGGTCCTGCTCTCCTGAAGCTGCATTTGTATAACGTTTTAGATAAGACTTCAAAAAGCCGAGAGTGTCCTTTACTAAGAACTGAAAGGAGCCGGAGCCAGGGTCCCCAGCAGGTAAGCAGGCCAGAAGTGGGTTGGGGGCTGAGTTAGCCCGCTCCCCTCCCACTCCCCACCCACTCCCCCCCCCCTCCCCCCCCCCCCCCCCACCCACTCCCCTCCCCCTCCCACCCACTTCCCACCTGCCCTTCCTCAGAGTCCCAGGCCATGGGGGAAGTGCTCCAGGGCCAGAGGAGCCTATGTTCTGAGACCAGAAAGTCAGGGACAGCCTGGGAGGGAAGTGCCTGAATATCCTCTGTCTATTTCTAACACCTGTCCCCTTTTTGGTCACCAGAGGACAGAATTTGCTCTTGGATACAAGTTTCCAATCCTACTTCCAGTTCACAGGATCCCAAAATTATTCCGAGCTCTGCATTTTCCATCTGGGAAAATCCCCCTGCCTGCGCATGGCCAATCCCACAGAACACCACCTACAACGGACCCCCGGACCCACAGTGCCACACTGTGCTGTTCCAGTTACCCCAGGTCAACCACAGCTCCCAGATATTAACATCTGTCTTGACTCTTTCTAGAGAGAGACCACATTCACCTCACTTGGATGGCAGGATATAGTCGTGCTGGTTCTGTCTTATGAGTTACGATGGTTCATCTCTTCCTGCATCTCACAGATTATACTTTATGACTAGGGAAAAACACAGTGTATGCAGGGTTTGGTACTAGCCAGTTTTGGGTTTCCACTTTGGGTCTTGGAACATGTCCCCTGCAGATAATAGGGGACTGCTGTAATGGATCTTTATCTTCCATGAGGCCCAGGTGAGCGACTCCTTAAAACGTGTGCATTGGCGGCAGAAAACTGGGTGACGTCGGAGTCACTCTTCTGCAGTCTGTTTAGCCCATGCAAAGGACAGCTCTGTCTCGCCCGTGGGGGGAGCACAAGGCACTCCCCCCCCATGTCCTTGTCATACCAAAGGGGGTCAAGGAAAAGTGGCCAGCATCCCTGCAGTGCCTCCTCCTCCACCTAGAGAGGCGCAGGGTGTGGAACATTCCAGAACAAGCTGGTGCATCCTTGCTCTCTCCCCAGCCCTCCCCAACAGCCGGTCTCACCCACTCTCCTACCGGAGGCCCTCAGCAGTGATGCTAAACTGGGCCTTCAGAAACCGGGAGCATCCACGCGGCAGAATCCCTACCATCAATGTAGCAGCTAAATATTGTAAGACTCCTAACTCCCCCATCTGTGTTTTGCCTCCCAAGAGGGAAAATAGTCTTCGCAGACATTCCCTTATCTGGCAGGCAGATTCTAAACCTTACTGGCAACTGCAGGCTTGTTTTCCCAACCAAACAGCTATGGAACCCAAAATTGTTCCTGCCTGCGATATGCTGAGGAGGGACCCAGCCAAACGGCTCAGTGTGGAAGCCCAGAGCCCGGAAGCCCGTGGGTTGTCCCCATCGCCAGAGGAGACCCAGTGCTCCGTGAAGTCGCTGGTGCCAGGGGAGGCCCGCCCGTCCCCCGACAGCAGCTAGAACTGTTGGCGTTCACTGCTCCTTTTCCTTAACGCGGAATACACCCACCAAGAAGCTGCAGGAAAACACTCACCGCAGTGTGAAATCAACACTTTCTAACTCAAATAAAGGGGGTAAAACAGGGAAAACTTCCAACCTTTTGCTGCAGATATTCTTCTGCAAGATCGCTCGAAGCTAGGGTGCCGCCCTGGCCTCTAGGGGACCCCCGGAGCCCCCCAATCCTTGCTTTCCATTTTATTAGCATCTCCTCACTTTTTTTTTTCCACCCTAGGTCTTCACCTTCTTAATACTGGAACCCTGCACCTGTGCAATGGCTAATAAACCAATATCGGACGATAACGGTGGAAGTCTAATTGATAGGAGCCTTTATCGACTGGCCTTGATGTCTATCTGAGGTTCTCAACAGCCGAGATTTAAATGTTTCATTTTATTTTTAACTTTCACTTTTCCACATTTCAGCAATGTCAGGCAAAGAGGTATGGTTTTACTATCAGAAAGAATCATGGTGCAGAATAATTTATGACTTCAGCTTGGGCTTTCAGAAAAGCTATTTCAAATCTTCACTTTGATTTGGTTGTATCAAAACTACTCAAAATAACAGCAGCACTTTCTTGGAACCAGAATATGTTAGCAGCACCTTCAGGATTTTGAACCGAAGCCTCGTCTTTATCCCAGAAGAAAACTTCAGAGAAGAATTAAACCACAGAAGGGGAAAATAACATTTTTTTTTCCATGATCCTTTTGTTCCTCTAGCCCCTGCCCCACCAGTCCCCAAACACACCCAAACCACAAAGGAAGGCCTGTCCCCATTGGGAAAGTTCCTGCCAGTCACCTTCTCCCAGAGCTTCCTGGGCAGGTACAGAGCCATCCCACCTGGGGCAGGCAGAAGCCCAGAGGAAACCCTGGGCCACGGGGAGAGAGGGGCTGTTTGGTCTGGATTTGTGTTAGGTCAACAGGACAAAGTGGAAGGACACGAGGTGTGACCAGAGTGATGAGTTCTGGAACCGCAGGGCTTACCTTAGCAGCTTAACTGCATACTTGTCTTAAGAACCGTCAGTCTGGTGACAAAATACCCCAGAAAGGGTGCAGTTGATCCAGGCGCTGACAGATTGCCAGAGGGGCGTCCCAGCTCCCTATCACAAAAGAAAACAGGAAAAAAAAAAAAAAAGAAACGATGTAAAGTGAAATGTAACAAATTCACCAAATCATAGCAATACGCAGAGGTCAAGGAAATTCAACTGAAAAGGTTAAAGATGAAATCAAATCCGGTGTAGGAGAATGGAAATCTATCCCCATGCAAGGCCACCGGTGACGTGCTGTAGACAAGAAGCTAAATACTGCCTAGCACTGGGATCTTTCATTTTCATCAGATCAATAAAAGCTTATATTTATCAGGATTCCAAGCAGCTGCCACTTCTGACAACCTCCACTTTATTTTCTCACTCCTTGCGCTGTATCAGGGCAAAGAGGAGAGGAGAAGCAGCTTTTAATGCTATTTACACCTGAAGACACAATTCCATTAAGAGGTCCTGTTTTGTTAAAGAAACAGGGATTGATATGATTATATTGGCAGGAGCGGGAAGTCTCTTTGTTCTTCTCCCCATGTTTTCCCCCTTTGCAATCCAGACCCAGCAAGAAGATTGCCTGACACGAAGTCCATGTGCAAGCACTTTTTTGTTCAAACTTCCCATTTACAGAGAGAGAGAGAGAGAGAGAGAGAGAGGAAAAGGCTCTCTGCTAAAACAGTTACCACTCTAATCATCTGTGCAACAATATTTGCTATCAGGCATTCTAAATAGATTATCACCAGTCCATCTGTGTCATTATTGATTTATAAGGCCTTAAGCAGCTTTAGAATGGAAGCTTCCCCACCGAGGGGTCCCTTGTATAAATCAGAGCCGTGCTCAAATATAGCAGCCATCACTCAAGATATTGTTCTTAAAAATCATAACAAGAAGGAGAAAATGATAAATTGCTTGTAATATACTGATCCAAACTGATATGCAAATCTTGTTTTTTAAATATATTACTTGAGTAAAAAGAGGCATCATTAACATATGAATGCTATATGCAAATGATAGTGACAGAGCAGATGTTGGCGCATGTAATTGACCTATATGTGAATTGCATCAGAACTCTTAACTCTATTAATTCACTACCCAGTAACTAGATATTGTCCAAAAAAAGTACATTCTTTGAAACCATATACTGGAAGCAAAGCTGACAGGGTTCCAAGGATTCTGAAACAAGGTCACTGTCACTAGTATTTTGCTGTCATCTGCATTCCCCTTCTTATGGATGACATCATCATGTGGCCGTGTAAATCGATCACTTAATAGCATTTGGAAAATACTGCAGTGGGGAACAGGTTATAAAAAAAAATGCCCCAGTTTTATTCTTTTTCTTGGCAGAAATGTCATACCTCTTAAACTGAGGGTTTGTGCATGAGTGCACTGTGAAACACACAGATGCCATTTTATTCCCCGTCTTTATTTTTCCACTTCTTCTCAGAATGACATTAAATTGTATTAAATAGCCTTTTGTCCACAGGGCACAGACCACCCCGCATATGATAATGTATTAATGCCCCACGTTCCAGCCACTGAGCTGAAACATTCTGAGACTTGGAGGATAAGTATGAAGCACCATTGTGTGTATAGCCTGCTAACAACTGTGACACATACTAATAGAAACATACCTAATAAATTACTGCTTTCAGGTCTAGCAAGCTGACATTTCTCTGCAAGGGACAATTTTATATTTGTGGCACAGAACAAAATTGCTTCATATGAAGCCCACTGTGGATTAGCATAAAAATTAACACTTAAATTTCAGCTTATTTTCCACCCTCTCCTCCTGCCACAACAATCAATTCCTCTTATAAATCTGATTAGATTTTATGATGCTTATTATTCAGAGCATGTCTCAACACAGCATTCACAGGCTTGAAGACTATTTGTTTAAATAGAAAAAAGAAGCAGATAAATCTATAGGTATTTTTTATTACCCCATTCCCCACCAGTTTCTTTCTCATATTGTAACATCAGTAATTGATTGCACACATTAATTAACATGTAAGGTAGAAATTCTGCATTATGCATGATTTATTTTCCTATCTGGTGAGTAGGTTTGTCTGCTGCCCTTGTGTTTCTAGGACATTGGGCTCGATTCTGGTCCAGACATAAATGCCAATGCTCATTCCCCCTGAAAGTTATTAATGTCAGATATGAAATGAGATTTTTGATTTCACCTGCTTACTAATCCACAAAAGCTGTTTTGAGTGATGCAGGCTTAAACGCCGAAATTTGAAATGATATATTGCTATATCTGATAACATGCAAATATGTTCATTAGACATAATTTAGCAGGAGAGAATAGCAATACTTTTATAACAAGTCTAGGTCAAAAATGGCTGTTAATTAAACAAGCCATGAAGCATGGTATCACAAGGAGCCTGTCCAGCAGAGACCAGACTTTCTGATGATGTGCCACCGATAGGTACCCGATACTTCGCACTCAGACGGAGGGGGTGGGACCCTCCTGAGCACCAGATGATCTAAAGCAAGGGTAACAAAACTATACCACATTAAGAACCTCAAATGGATCACACTTTCTTAGATTTTTAATGGCAAAGCGCTACACTTCTCCATCCAAAGATGCGATTTCACTTTCTGTCTTAGCGGCTTAAAGTGATTTATATGGTTGACTCCTTCACAAATAAACCAGAAAAGAAATTAATATTACATCCGGCCATGCTGCTGGCTGCCCCGAGTGTTTATGGCTTTGTATTTTAAATCAACTAGAGTAATAGGCAAAAAACCCAGGCTGGCTGTAGAGGGCTGGGTTGGGGGGCCGAGGTGGACGGAGCGTGGACTGACTCCAGGAGGAACAGGTTCCTGTGATTTCTTCCTTGAGTGTATGCTTAGGTTGCCTAGGGAACAAGCCTACAGTACGAACTCTTCCCATTGGCTGGGAGTTGAGAGTCAGTGTGGGTGGGGTCCTGATACACAGGTAAAACAGGCCACTGGCCCTGGGAAAAGGCAGGCACCCCCAGAGTGAGCTACGGTCTAAGAAGGACGGGAAGATTTTCCCACTGTCCACCCAGGCTGCCTACCCTGCAGGGAGGTACCGCATTCCTACTGGGGTAAAGGTGGAAAATGTCTTCTGGAGCCAACAGGTGCCCACGCTAGCCTGCTGTAGGTGGATCCTCTACTTATCCAAAGAACCCTTGCAGCCCAATCTTTGAAACACAGTCCGTCCACCAGGAAGGATAACATAAGCACTGGGAGTCACCTACAGCAAGGAAAGTTGAGTGCAAGGTCACATATCATCTCAGCAGTTCAAAGGACGTCCACACGCAAGCCATCTTGATGTGAAGGCTTTCTCCATGATACTCAGAGCGTGATGCAGAAGAGCCTTCTCCTCCTCACTGCTTTGGTGGAGATAGAAGGCCCTTCTGCAATGTCTTTGTGTCCCGGTGTAGAACCGTCTCATTCTTAGCTTGACTTTAAGTCCATGTTATTATTATCGCTAGAAATGCCACTTCATCTTGGGGCTGTGTTTTATGATTTCTGGGCTTGCAAATACAGGATCTCAATGGGTGAAAGAGGCCCAGTGGCATCCCTTCTGTCTACCCCCAGGGACAATGTGAAGTTCAAAAAAAAAAAATATGATGGATGGAAATGCTTTGGTGGAAGAAGAGAAGGATCCCGAATTCTGCTTGGCCTTCAGTGCTTTCCTATTCTCCTGCCCCACTCCATGCAGGCGCCTCATGAGACCATGTACATGGTCCTCCTGTCACTACCCTGGACTCAACCATCTACTGCTTCCACAAGGGGGATGCAGATATATATATATATTTGAGTGTAGTGCCTCTACACTCCTAGTGGGTTGATGTGAGATCCAGGAAAAGATACAGTAAATAAGATTCCCACTCATGGTTGCTGTTGGTTACTCCAGCTTTAGCTCTCAAGTTTAAATTAAGTAGAGTAATGGGCAAAAACAAGGCTGGCTGTAGAGGGGCGGGTTGGGGGGGCCGAGGTGGATGGAGCATGGACTTGCTGGGGCGAGTCCTGAGCATGAATTCTCAGGTCATGGAGAAAAACAGGAAGGAGGGCTCAAACACCGTGGCATATAAGTGACACTAAGATTCCATGGTCACCTCTCATAGACCAGAAAGTCTCTTTCAGGGTCCCTGACCCTATTTGTCCAACTCCATGTGCCTCTGTCCTAATGATGAGACATGCCTAGTGTCTACCCTGGGTTTAATGATGACATGTTTCTCCATGATTACGCATCCCTCCAAGGGCTTTATTTCATATCAAAGTTTTTTATTTCTTCAACAAATGAACCAACACACGTGATCAAATGTATGAATGAGTGGATGAGTGCGCCAAGACACTTTGAATAGATAGATGAAGACAGGGTGACGAGAGAAGGAATAAAAAGTGTAGTAAGTGCATGAACTAATGCATAAGCGCACAGATACACAGGCAAATGAATGTCTTATGAATGAGTGAGAGTATCCATGAACTCTTAATCAACAAGTAGGTATCTGAGTGCCTCCAGCCCTTCCAGAGGGTTACTGGATAACATACAGTAAATAAGGTCCCTGCTCACGGTTACTGATGAGAACTGGTTACCCATCTTTAGCTCCAGCCAGTAGGATTCTGCTGGAAGAGTTAGAAGGGAGACAGAAATATTCTTGTCTCTTCTCTGATCCTTCTAGAGGAGAAGACTTGGTCAGAATGTTCCTGACAATGAGACACCCAGCCCACTGAGCTTCAGTGAAATCCTGCTAGACACTGAGGGACTATTTCTAGCAGGCAGGAGCCACACACAGCAATGGAGAGCACAAATTCTAGACCAGAGTCCCAAAAGCTCCATCATGAATGTTGTAAAGTCACCAAATCACCTCCATGTCTTTCTCTTTGGAATGGAGATAATATGTCTGAGAGTGCTTAACTGAGGGTCTGGCACCCAGTAGCCCCTTAAACATCAGCCACCATGGGTGACTACTGCTGAGAAGATCTTTCCTGTGCGTTCTAGGTGCCCTGCACATAGAAAGCTGGGTTCCAGGTGAACATCCATCTCTACCAAATGCTCTGGGTGCCAAAGCAGGGGCCTGACCCTA